GCTTGGGGGAAGGCGTGGTGATGTTGAGGGGTGAGTCAAATAGATGGAGACAGTGCCCAGAAGAAAGTGTGTGAGAAAAAAGAGAAGCAGACAAAGAGATCCCTGACTATAAGCAGGGAGAGAAGTAAATGCCGAATGAGTTCTAACAGGAGGTATGAATTTTTGAAAATGGGTTGCTTGTGCTGAGAGCAGCCCATACAGAGCAGGATGTGGGGTATAGGATGGATCATGAACATGGAGGAGGATGTTCACATTCCGAAATTATTAAACTCAATGTTGAGTCCTGAGGGCTGGCAGGTACCCAGACGGAAGTTGGGGTGTTGTTCCTCCAGCTTGCTTTTCTCCTGTGAACAAAACTGAACAGTGCTTGTCAAAAATTGCAAAACTATCTTTGCATGCACACTCAGTTTACCGACATTAAATATTTTTCAACATTCAGGATTTGGTTATAATATAATTAATAGGAACTTTTCAAATTCATTTGAAACAATGTTTCCTTTATTAAATAATTCAACATAATGTATCTATGTCAAATGTCGTTGTATTTGTTCTGTTAAGTTGATCAATGGATGAAATTATCAGCTTAAGGGACAAATAACAAGGGCAGAATGTTGATAATGGTATCCCATTGTAAATGTTAGTCCCAATAAAAAGGCTTGCAATAAAAAAGTGGCAGCTGATATGTTAGAATATTGACTCTGAATGAATTTTAGAGTGAATTAAAACAGTGACTCATCAGAATTAAAACTTTTTTTAGTCTCCTGATAGCAATCTGGATATACAGTGCCAACTTAGGTCAACAGTGCAGTGCAGAATTTAGTTATCAAGATAAAACAATACAAATTTTGCAGTTTAATTTAGGTTTTATCCTTGGGAACTTCACTTGAAATCGTTCTATACTATTCTGGGAAGTCAAAGGAAATAGACTTGATTAGATTGAAGTGTTCACTTGAGAAGAGTCTATATATACACGATTACAAAATGAGCAGTAGTGGCATCTGTACTGTTTGTTGGCGTCAGAAGTAGTCACGAAATTTGCAGAAAGAATAAAACTTAATAACTTGTAAAATGGTCCATTCAGTCAAATAATACTAATTCCTAAAGTCTATAATTCAGGATAATATTACTGAACTTGAACATTTTTAACTGAAGTCAATTTTTATTTGTAAAATATATTTTGTTCTTAACAAACCTGATTGTTTTTATTTTGAAGGAATGACTGAAGGAATGAATGGAGGAAAACCTGGAGTGAATAGATTGCCATTTGAGGGAAGGTGAGGCAGGTTAGGCCTGTCTCCTCTGGAGTTTAGAAGAGTCTGAGGTGACTTAATTGAAACATATAAGATCTTGAAGGAACTTGACCAGATGAATGTGAAAAGGATGTTTTCCGTTGTTGGAGAATCTGGAATGGGGGAGTCATAATTTAAAAACAAGAGGTTGTTCGTTTAAGACCGGGATAAGGAAACAAATTTTTATTGAAGGGGGTTGTGATTGGAATTCCCTTCCTCAAAAGACAATGGATGCAGAATCTTTAAATATTTCAATGCCGGGGTACATGGATTCTTGATTATTAAGGGGATGAAAGATTGTCAGGGATATGCAGGAATGTAGAGCTGAGGTCAAAATCAGATCCACCTTGATTTTGTTGAATGGCAGAGCAGCTCGAAGGGATAAGTGGCTTACTCTTGTTCCTGGTGTGCATGTTGGAAATGGCATTGGATGTTATCTGTAAATACTGCGGAATGTATTTCATCAAGTCCCTCAGACGTTTCTGTTAGCAAAACTTGAAATTCAAGGATTAGACAAAATTATTGACTGGGAAGGAGATTCATTGAAAGATAGGAGACAGATTGTAGAGATAATGAACAAGACATAGGTGTCCCACAGAAATTTGAGTTGGGCCCTCAACTTCTGCTTGTATTTATTCACAATTTAGATGATGTAGTAGAACACCATATAGCCACATTTGCTGATATTGAAAAGGTAGACAGCATTGTGAACTGTGCAGATGGCACCATAACATCACAAAGGGACGTAAGAGGCAACCTTTCCACATAGAGGGTGATGTATGTATGGAATGAGCTGCCAGAGGAAGTGGTAGAGGCGGGTACAATTACACATTTAAAGAATAACAACCCTCTGCTAGCACCCTCTGTCTTCTACCATCAAGCCAATTTTGTATCCAATTGGCCATCTTTCCCTGGAACAAGAATACATAAGAACAATGACAAAGAGTACAGCATACAGGACATTGAGTCTACTCTGCTATTCAGTACCTTCATATCTGATCTCTGCCTCAACTCCACTTTCCCACCTGCTCGATTTCCCGACAGACCAAAAATCTTTCAATCCCATTGTTAAATATGTTCAACAATGGAGCATCTACAGCACTGGCAGCAAGAGAATTCCAAAGATTGACAAACCCTTGAGAAAATAAATTTCTATTCATCTCAGGTAGCATAACATCACAAAGAAACACAGATCAATTAAATTTTAAAAAACATGCAAAATGGATTTCAAATGAATGTAGGCAAATGAAATCTACAGAGGATGAAATGGAATACTTTTAAATGGCAGAAAACTAAAAATAGTGGAGGCCCAAACATATACCAGGATCATTAAATGTCATCAGTTGTATAGAAAATCTCATAATGGAGAATAGAAAATTGGCTTTCATGTCTAGAGAAGTACAATACAAGGGGGTAGAAGTCCTGCTTCAGCTATACAAAGCCTTAATTAGACCAAACCTAGAGTACTGTGAGCAGCACCACATAGAATGTTGATAGAATTTATTGCCCTTATTAGGAAAGAGTGCAGTGTCAATTTACCAGAATTATACCTGGATTCTAAGGGTTAAAATATGAGGAGAGATTAAACAGACTAGTATCATATTCCATAGAAATGTTACGAGATAATTAGGAACTTAGGAACTTTAAGAGGATGTGAGTGTGGCCATTTTAGAATACTGTGTACAGTTCTGGTTGCCGTGCTATAGGAAGGATAGTATTAAATTAGAGAGGGTGCAGAAAAGATTTACAAAGATATTACTGGGACTGGAGGGTTTGAGTTATAGAGAGGCTCGATACGCTTGGACATTTTTCACTGGAGTGTAGGAGGTTGAGGGGTGACCTTACTGAGGTTTATAGCAAAGATCTTTTCCCTAGGGTAGGGGAGCTCAAAAACGAGAGGGCATGAGTTTAAGGTGAGAGGGGAAAGATTTAAAAGGGACCTGAGGGGTAACATCTTCACACAGAGTGTGGAGCGTATGTGCAGTGAACCACGAGAGGAAATGGTAGATGCAGGTTCAGTTACAATATTTAAAAGACATTTGGAAGGTACATGAATAGCAAAGTTAAAGGGATATGGGCCAACGCATGCAAATGGGACTAGTTTAGTTTGGGAAATCTGGCCAGCATGGACAAGTGGGGCTGAAGGGTCTGTTTCTGTGCGTTATGACTCTATGCCAAGTGGAACAAGTAAGGTAGCTAGAATCTATTTCTGCTGGAACCAAGTCTAGGAGCGGCATTGACTAAAACTTCAGTCGAGATCCTTCAGAAGTGAAGTTTTGAACAACTTTTAGAAAACAAAAGTCATTCAGATTTGGAGCTCTCTTCCAGAAATTACAATTGATGCTCAATCAGTTGTTCAGTTTCAGTCTGAAATTCATAGATTTTTGTTAACAAAAGCTATTAAGGAGTAAGGTTTAAAAGTGAGTATATGGAATTAAGTTGCAAATCAACTATGATCCCATTGAATGGCACAAAAGGCTCAAAGGAATAAATGCCCCACTGCTGTTTGTACATTCCTAATTAGAGCAGTTATACATAGACATGTAACAATTATAACACGGGAACAAACCATTCAGTCCAACGTGTCTGTGCCGGATATACCCCTCTACAAGCAAGCATTTCTAACTGCATTTACCAAAACTCTCCAAGATCCTTTCGTTCACTTTTCCCTTACCTATCTTGAATGCCATCCCATATTGAATGTTCATATGGATTCTGCTTCTGTCATGAAATTGGAAATGATTTCCAGCACCTTGCAACTCCCATGTTCTCTCTTGAGAACCTTGAGGATGTTCTCTCTTTCTACATTTTGTGTTTATGGTTCTTTAGAGATTTGGTTTACTTAGTTGGCTGGATATTTGATTTTGCAATGCAGAGTGATGTCAGCAGTGTGGTTTCAATTCCCACAGTGGCTAAGGATACCATGAAAGACTCTCCTTCTCAACTTCTTCCTTTGCTTGAGGTGTGGTGATTGTCAGGTTAAACTAATTATCTCGCTCACTGATTAGATAACCCAGCGGTTTGGTAGGATTATGTATATCTTTATACCCCTCAGTGACTGCGAACATTAGTTGAAATTGACTGATATTTCACAAACAGCAGGCTGAATTAGGTAGGAAATATTAATCGAATGCAGCTAAATATGAATTCGTAGAATCATAGAATGATTACAGCTACAGAAGGAAGTCATTTGGCCCAACATGTCCGTGTTGGCTTTGAAAGAGCATTCAGGTTATCACATTCCGCTGCCCTTACCCCATAGCCCTGCATTCTTTCCTTCAGATGTAATGCTTAATCACTCATTGAAATGATGCTTTGAAATTGACTCATAGCAGATCCTTCTGTAGCAGGTTTAGTGTGAAAAGCTATTTAAATCCATAACAGTTCAACTGCATGGACCTTTGGTGAAGACTTTAACGGTAGAAAGAGCAGAAAATATCCTGTGAAGTTTGCTGCAAGGGAGCAAATAACTTTGCATCTAAGATATTGTCCTGCCACAATGTTCTACTGGGAAAGAGCTACAGCTTTAATAAATGGAACAAAAACAGAAGTTGCTGGAAAAGCTCAGCAGATCCCGCAGCATCTGTGAAGAAAAAAAATCAGAGTTAATGCTTCGGGTCTGGTGACCCATCCTCAGAACTGTACAACCTGGGAACTGACTTAACAGACTCATTTATCAACTGATATTATGATTATTATTCTTTTACTAAGATTGTTGCTGTGAACAAAACAAAAGAACGGATGCGACCTTACCAAGGAAATGCCGAGGATGAAGACCCAGACATTAAAAAAATTAAAAAGGTAATATAATAATGAAACGAATGTGGAGAAATTTTGTTAAAAATTGAAACAAAATGGCATTTTCAAGTTTCTCTGTCACTTCAAATGATGCTATGAATCTGATGATATGAATAATTGACTGCAGAGGTTATTATTTTTGAATTAATCACTATTTAGAGGATATTTAATATCATAACTATGAAGTATTCTTCATGCTGTCACATCAAATTACTGGAAGTTTTCTTTGCTTGAATATTCATTTGTAGAGGTGACTTAAACATATCTAGAATGGAAAATATGTTAAATGGTCCATGCATATTTCTGGAAGCCTTACTAACTGGTCCTCTTCCACAAATATAACCCTGTACAGGAAGGGTTAGTTAATGCAACTCAAAGTACCTCAGCTGTACAGAATGTTTGTCTCAACCAAAAAGTAGCCCTAGAAAAGATTAGGCAGACGTATCTGGAAATTAGGATAACTGCCTTTCCACAGATGTCTTCTGGTTTTTTTCATGGCACCATAAATTGAAAACATAAATTGAGCATTCTGGTCTCAGTTTGTGACAGTTCTTCCCAGGATGGAAGGATTGGAAGACAAGGTACCAGTGGACTTTCTACTATTGCTTTCAGGTTATCCCTTGTACCAATTGGATGCACCTCCAAATCCATTGTTTTACCTTCTAGCATCAACCTTCAAACACTCCACCACCCTCCTCATCGGAGCTTGCTACCTCAGCTCTGGTCAGATGCTGGGATTACCTGGTTTCAGAAAATGCCCATGGCCCCCTTCCTTGTGTGCCTCCTACAGTCCTGGCAGGGGCCACCAGTCTTGGTGTGGTACGCAACCGCTGACATCCTTTTTAGTCAGAAGCTGTATGAGGCAGAGCTCCTTCCTGGGTTGCACACAATTCCCCTTGCCTCATGCTAATGGAAGGGCACTTGCCAAAAAAAAATAAAGTGGCCAGCCAAATGGAGGTAAGTTTGTCTCTAACATTACCACTGGGAGGTGGGGAGCCCACCCTTATTAAATGATCCAGCCCATAGGTGATGTCGAAAAGTATGGCACTAGATTGACTGACACTCCATCTGGTGGATCTAATGGTATTGCAACATTTCACTTTTATTGGTCATACTTTTTAAAAGTCACAAGAAATAGTTAGGTTTGAATTTATAGCTGACGCAAAATCATCCTAATTGACTGAATGTGATGTGGCAAAAATGGGTAGGAAAGAACTCCTTGAAGCTAAATTAGTGACAAAATAGTGGAGCGCTCAAGGAGGAGCTAATGCGTGTTTGGAGCATATTTGTTTCTGCAAAGAAAAAGGTAATATCAATTACCTTTTTTAATTCTATAGATTGCAGAAAGGTTCCTGCCGATGGAAAGTTGCAAATGTAACCATTGTATTTAAGAAGGCAGGAAGAGGGGGAGTTGAGAACTACAAACCTATTAATTTGATATCAAATGTAGGAGAAATATCTGAATCTATTACAGATTTTGTGATAGCTGAGCATTTAGAAAAAAATGGCACGATTGGGCTGAGTAGAAATGTATAAGTGAAAGTAAAATCATGTTTGTCCAACAAACTTGTAGGAGATTTTTGGGGATGTTACTTGTGGCATAGACAAAGGAGGACCATTGGATGTGGCGTATTTGAATTTTGAGAAGGCTTTTGATAAGGTTATACACAAGAGGTTAGCAATTAAAATTACAGCCCATGGGATTGGCGGGGTAAATATACTTGTATGGATGAGAATTGCTGACCAGACAGAAAGCAGAGTGTAGGAATGACAGGATCATTCTCAGGATGGCAGGCTGTTACTAGTGGGGTACCACAAGGCTTGGAGCTAGGGCCCACAACTGCTGCAATCTACATAAATCATTTCAACATGGCGATCAATTGTAATATTTTCACATTTTCTGATGGCACCAATCTAAATGGGAACCTAAGTTGTGAGGAGGATATAAGGAAGCTTAAAGGTGATTTGCACATGCTAAATGAATGGACCAGAACATGGTAGATGGAATTGAAGTTACTCATTTAGCTAGAATAAACAGAAAAGCAGTGTACTTCTTAAATGGTGAGAGGTTGGGAAGTGCAGGTGTCCAAAGGGACCTCTGGATGTCCTTGCCCATGAGTCACTAAAAGTTAGCATACAGGTTCAGCAAACAATTAAAAAGGCAGGCAGTATGTTGGCATATATTGGAATACAGAGGTAAAGATCTCACACTGCAGCTGTACAGAGCCTTGGTGGAGGCTGTACCTGGAAAATTGTGTCAAATTTTGGTCCACTTATCTATGGAAGGACATACATGCCGTAGAAGGAGTGTGGTGGAGATTCACCAGATTAATCTCTGGGATGGCAGAATCCTCTGTTGAGGAGAGATTGATGAAACTGGGACCAAAAAAAAGTGCTGGAGAAACTCAGCAGGTCTGGCAGCAACTATAGGGAGGAAAGCAGAGTCAATGTTTCTAGTCTAGTTTCCAGAAAAATGAGGCGTGATGTCATTGAAAATTATAAAATTCTGACAAAGTGTGACAGGCAGACCTTTGTAGAATGGTTTCCCTTGCTCATGACCTGAGAACCATGGGATATCACCTCAGGAAAATGGATAGGTCATTCAGGACTTAAGGTGAGGAAGAATTTCTTCTCTCAGAAGGTGATGAATCTTTAGAATTTTCTACCCAGAGGTCTGCGCAAACTTCATCATTGAGCATGTTCCAAATTGAGGTCAATAGGTTTCTGCAGGCTAATGACATCAAGGGATATGGAAGTAATGCAGGCAAGTGGCATTGACGCAGATGGCCAGCCATGATCTAATTATATTGCGGGGGGCAGGCTCAATGGACTGAATGGCCTACTCTTATGCTGCTAAGCTAAGGTCCATAAGATACCTGTGTCCATTTCAGCATAAAAGCATTCTGTGAAGATGCTTGAGATTCATGGCTGTCGCTGCATTCAAAGTAGCAGAAGCATACAAGTTGGAGGTGTCCTTCAGCTCCACAGTTGAGTACTGAAGGCTAAAATGATTTCTGGGTTAGTTTGAGAGAAAATATGTTGTTGTATTGAGGTTGGTGGCTTGCCTGTGCCAAGTTGCTTGGATAAAGGGTTGAGGAGAATGGTGGCCATGGAGTGTGCAGGGTGTATTGTGCAGAAGGAGCAGTTTTACAGTGGCTGGTACATGCATTCGGTCAATTGTAGCTGCCAGGTAAGTTGGTCACCACACAAAGTCAAGATATGAATCTGCTATTTAAGTCTTGAGGGAAAATCATGCACGTGGTCGTGTCATCAAGAATCAGACTTTTTCACTTAACCTACTTAATCACCTCCCTTGCCACTAGCCTTGCCAAGGAAGAGAAGATTGTGCCCTATGTTTCCATTAATATCTGAGTAATTTCCTCCTGCATCTGTCAGACAAAACAAAACCATTCAAGGATTTAATGGGGAAAGATACAAATGGTTTTGTGGAGAATCATGAAAATTGACACTGTGATAACTCAAAAAAGCAGTCACCATCAAGCCAGTTGTTAGGTCCTGTAAATCTCATGAAATATTCACTCTGCAATACAATACATCTCAATCTGTTTCTGAAGCATTCCTGCTACAGAATGAACAATCCGTTATGAATGGCTCAAGGGCATTAACAGCAGCAGAGACAGACTTTCTAATGACTGTGTTTAAGCTAAATTTGAAACTTTAATCAATGGTCGGAATATAGTGAAGATCACAATCCATTAGAATCAATAGATCCCAAGTGTTAAAATTGAGCTGAAGAGACCTCAAAAAATGCTGTTAATATTCCAAAAATGTTGCCGGAAAGTACATTCTAAGCAAAAAGAGGTGATTTCAGCAGATGCACTGAGTACGTTTACCTTCCAGATATTAATACTTGTGATTTTGCTTCTGATCTCATCAGTTGGAGGTTCATGCTGCCAGCAACAGTAACCAGCTGAAATGAATGAGCAAATTCAGAAACAACTGTGTATTACTATTGAGCAAGGCTGTCATTAAACCAAGTCAGAGGTACCTGAATGTTTACACCCTGTTTTGTTTTTCAAGACAAACTAACTGTCCAAGGGCATTTGAGATTCAAAGGACAGCAACACACAGTGTGGGCTATGTTATATACAAAACTAATGTCAGTAACTCACTTAATACACATTGGCAAAATGGATGAATCCATGGCATCCAAGACAGCCTTTATTAGTCCAGTTTGTCAACTGACTTTCAACAATACACTGCAAAGTGCAATACCTGTTTGACTAATCAGAGCCCTCCAAGGTAAGGAGCCATTACTTCAGCACAAAGTTGCTTGTGACCAGGCCTTGCTTGAAGGACGAGACTGGCTTTTGTGAGTTACGTAGCTGTATCGTACCTATTGTGTGTGATTATTACAATAACTTGATCAACCTAGCTGGTCACATTTCTGTTACTGCAGACAGTGCTCTGAAAGAACGCCAGAAGGTGTTCACAAGATTTGGAACATCAGACATCCGAGTAATAATGAAGGATGTACAGAGTATTCTACCTTTGAAAAGAGCTGAAGGTTTAGACATGTAATGCTAACACTTTAATACTTGCAGTCCAATGACACAGCAGAGAATAATGTCAAGACTGTCAAACAACTCTTCTCAAAATGCAAAGTCTCCGGTCAGACAAAGCTTTTAACCTTTGTAAACTGGAGCAACGCAACGAACCTGCTGAAGGTGTAAACAGAAGACCCCACAAGGATTTTACGAGTTATAGATACAAGACAATGCTTTCTTATTACGAACACTCCTACAGTTTAAATAATTCACTGAGGTTGACATTTGGATGCGTGAAGCAATGTTGGTGGTATTATTATGACAGGAATGCTAAACCACTTCAAGAAATACACTCTGCTAGTACAGTGCACGTGAAAATCCCTAGCCAGAATATTTGGACTGCTTGGAGTATATACACATGTTGGGTTTGAAAAGTTGCATTTTGGATACTCATTGTTAGTTACTTTAAGTTGATAATTTGTCTGTGAGCAAAGCACCTGAAATTGGGGACCTTTTGAAATGCAGTTACCCAATGGTATCTCTGAACCTTCTGCTATCTTCAAAGGAAGAAACCAAATCTGTATTACCTGAAAAACATGGTAGCCAAGCATCAGTTGATGAGCTCAGAACTGGAGAAAAACATTAGCCTCCATCTTGATAAAAATGCTTTTTGTTTTTGTTGTGGCTGCTTGAGATTGTATGCTTTGTTTCGTTTACATTAGTCTCAAAGGAGTGACACCAGATAGACCACCTGGCATTGATCTAGACTCTGGAATGGAAAATGGCAAACTCAGCCCTGTTGGCCCTGCACAATGCTCCTTGTTAACATTGGTAGCAAAATTGGGACAGCAGTCTCACAGACTAATAAAGCAACAGCTTGACATAGTCATACTCACAGAATCATATCTTACAGACAATCTGTTGAGAACAGCATCACCATTCTTAGGTATGTTTGGTCCCACTAGCAAGACAGACCCAGCAAAGCTGGACTGCACAGAGGTATACAGTCAGGAGGGAGTTGGCTTGTGATTCCTCAACATTGATTCCAGACCCTATGAAGTGTCATGGCATCAGGTCAAACATGAACAAGCAAATACTTAGCAGATTACCAACAAAATAGAATCTGACCATTATTCTATGACATTCCATGGCTTTACCATCATCAAATTCCCCTCTATTAACATCTTGGATGTTACTATTGACCAGAAACTGATATTGACTAGCCAATGAATACAATGGCTCCAAGAGGAAGTGAGAGACGAGGAATCTTACAGCAGTGAACTCATCTCCTGACTCCTCAGAGCCTGCCTATCATCTACAAGGCACAAATCAGAGTGTGATGGAATACTCCTCACTTGCCTGGATGGGTGCATCTCCAGCCTGACACCATGCAGGACAAAGCAGCCCGATTGATTGGCATCACATCAACAAACATCCACAAACATCCATCACTGACACCCAGTAGCAGCAATGTATTCCATCTTGATGATGCGTGAGAGAAATTCATCAAGGCCCCTTTAACAGTACCTTCTAAACCCGTGACCTTTGGCATCTAGAAAGACAAGGGCAGCAAACACGTGGGAACGCCACGACCTGCAAGTTCTTCTCCAATCCACACACCATCCTCACTTGGATATATATTACTGTTCACTCGCTGTCCCTGGGTCAAAATGCTGTAACTCCTTCCCATCAGCATTGTGGGTGTCCATGTACAAAATGGACTGCAGCAAGTCAAGAAGGCAGCTGAATATCTTCTGAAGGGCAATTAGGGATGGGCAATAAATGCTGGCCAGCCAGCGAAACCCAAAACTGAATGAATTAAAAAAAATCTTTGAATTCCTCTGTGCTAACATTTATTTTTGGATTTAGGAGAATAACAGAAGAAATTTCTAGTGATTGCTTTTAAAGGATTTTGATCTGTTATGATCCACAGATTGAAGAATAAACCGTTTAAAAACTCAAAAGTTTTATTTGTTAGCAGTGGTCTGCTTAATGCTCACGTTTTCTCACTGAAATATATCAATAAATTAGGGATGAAAATATAACAAGTATATTTTATTTTGAATCTGCAAACTTTTAGAAAATCTGTGCCCAAAATATCCTGACTGGTTAGGAATATGTTGAAAGAAAAGTTATCAGTGTCAATTACGAGATCAAGTAATTTCCACAGTTAATGTTTTCAGCGACAAAAATATGATGGTGTTACATTTGTAGCTTGCGGGGCACCAGTCAAGGATGCTGCAAAATATATTTAGCCAGTCTGCGAAATAAAACAATCATGCTGGTCTTTGCTGCAGGATTATTCTGTGTAGGTGTGTGTTCGCTAACACTTCTTCAGCTGACTTTGTTTCATTTCCTTCTCATTGATACCGATAGGTTCAGAGTTTCATGAGGGGCTGGCTGTGCAGACGAAAATGGAAGACAATTGTACAGGACTACATTTGCTCTCCACATGCAGAGAGTATGAGGAAAAGGAACCAAATTGTCTTTAACATGGTGGAAGCAGAATCAGAGTATGTCCAGCAGTTGTATATCTTGGTGAACTGCTTTCTAAGACCCCTACGGATGGCTGCCAGCTCAAAGAAGCCCCCAATCAGTCATGATGATGTCAGCAGCATTTTTCTCAACAGGTATTTAGCAAATTACCATGTCATCATAGATATATTTAATACTGTTGAATAAATATTTGCAATAAATATTTGCTTAAGTATTGACATGTATTTATAAAAAAATCAACAGCCGTTGAATATTTATCTGCAGACTTATAAAAATAAATCCATGCCCAAAGCTTCATGACTGGTTAGGAATGATGTTGAAAGACATGTTATTAGTAAAAATGTCAATTACAAGATTTAGTAGTTTCCACAGTTAATATTTTTAGTGACTAAAAATATGATGTGTTTGTAGCTTTGCAGGGTACATATCAAGGAAGCAGTATCAATCAACAGTAAAAGCTCCATTTTCCCATAGGCTGCTCTGCTGGTCTGTTAATAAGATAATGCCTTGCTTAAACATTAGGAGCCAAAACTTCTGGAGTGGGTCTTCAGCACAAAATCTTTGATTTAGAGGCTAACAAGCTACCATTGAAGTGAATAATATCTAAAAGTCAAGAATGAACGACGAGTCTTAATTACGCCTTAATAAGCTTGAGTATAGGCATTGGGATCCATACTCTACAAAGTATATTAAGGCTTTCAAGAGGGTACAACAAGAGATTCATTAGGATAGTGCCTGGCATGAGGAATATAAATATAACTAAAGAAGACTTAAAGAATCATTTTTTCATTAGAACAGTGGAAATTATGGGACAATATGAAATAAAAAAAAACAAAGACTGGGAGAGAAAGGCTAGAAGCAGACTTTTTCAATAGTTATAGAAGATGCTTATTGGACACCATTAGTAACTTCTTGCTCATTAAAGAACTTGTCTATTATTCCGACTATTTATTTCCTGTCACTCGGCCTAATTCCTAACCAGGTCAGTCATCTTCCTTAAATTCATGTTTAGTTAACAATGGGGGAATGTATCGAATGTCTCCAGAAACTTTTCACTACGTTAGTCACATTTTCAAAATAAGTCAATTATGTTTGTCACATTTGACCCATACCTTATGAATTCATGGTGACACTCTCTTGTCAGTTGAATATTTTTAAGGTGTTCAGTTACTCTACCCTTAGTTGCAGACTGTCTTTAATTTGTTTTCCTTTCTCATAATTCTTAAATAGAGGAGTCGCATCTGCTGTATTTCAATCTAAAGGAATGGTTCCTGAATTGCAAAAACTTTGTAAAATTATATTTAATGCATTGACGATGTTCTCATGTACTTCATTTAAAACGTGGGGTGTAAGTTTTCTGGTCCTGGGAGATTATTAAGTTCCTAGTTCTGATTGTTATGCAGCCACATTGAGTCCATCACATTGAACCTGCAATTCAATCCATTATCCAATTGTTCTTCATACTCAGTGGCCCAGATTTTTGTCTGGTGCCTGTGAAATAGTGATTTGGTCTTTTTTGTGGTTTTGCAAACACATAACTGATGCATGTATGGCAGTACTCAGATTTTCCTTTATACCGTGCAGGGTAATGTACAATGTTCAGTTCGTGAGCCACAACGCAGTGTGGGTGTGGAAATGAACTGATTTGTAGCTTACTTTGGTTCCTGGTGGCAGCAACCCAGCACCCAAACTCATCATTACAGCCCCTAAACCTTCTCCCTCACCCTCATGTCTCCTCCATGGCCCCTCTATCTTTAAGGCCCCCCATGCCTGCACCTGCTAACCTATAATGCAGTGGACCAGATGATGGAAGATGGAATTGGAATGAGTGTAACTCCTGTTTTCTTTCTTGGCCTGCATAAACACAATGGGCCAAGGACTGTGTTGGTACCTACACCATTCAGTATGGGATGGAGCCTTGTAGACTAGGAAGGTTGCAAGATCAATTCCTGGTTCCTGATGACTTATCAAAGGGAGGAGAAAAAATATCAGCCAGGATTCTATCTGCACTTTGGTGTCCAATGGTTTCTGCTGAAAATTTAGACATATGTTGATAGCTGGCAACACGGATTCAGTTGTTGTATGTATATATTTGATTATAATGCTGCTACTAAGGCACTTATTTTCTCAAGAGGAAATAATTCACTAGTAAGCTCCTCCAGTCTTGTTTAATTACATAAAGCAAGAACTGTCATTTGGATTGTATGTGATCCTTCCAATGTTCTGTTTGCAACAAAACATAATTTTCCAAAATACTTTGTGGCCCGCAGAGTATTTCAAAGTCTCAGAATTATTATAATGTGGTGAAATGTAGCAACCAATGTATAGAGAAAAAAGACCCGAAAACAGCAATGAGGTAATTGAGCCTGTAACAGATTGCTGTTTATACATATTGTTTGATAAAGAAATGTTGATCAGAACTGCTTTGCTTTGAAATGTGCTGTGTTATCTTTCATGCCCACTGGAGAGAGCAGATATGGCCTCAGTTTAACATGACATGTTGAAGATGGCACATCCAACAGTATTCCTTCCATATTGCGCTGGAGTGCCAGGATGGACCATGTGCCGCTGGAGTGCCAGGATGGACCTTGTGCCACTGGAGTGCCAGGATGGACCATATGCCGCTGGAATGCCAGGATGGACCATGTACCACTGGAGTTCCATGATGAATTATTTGCTCAGATCTCTGATGTGGTTGAGGAGCCTGAAACCACAATTCTCTGACCTGGATGAGAGTGTTGCCACTAGACTGCACAGGAGGCTTATTGCTTATAGTTTTCTGTTCCTCTGATCAAGCTAATCAGATTAATAATTCCATGTTTCTGAAACATTTTCTTTCAGTGAAACAATCATGTTCCTTCACGAGATATTTTACCAAGGATTAAAAGCGCGGATAGCCAACTGGCCGACACTGGTGTTAGGTAAGGACTGGTCACTGTAGAAAGTGGGAAGAATAAACTGCATTCATTACGACAGACCAAAATATTAAATGAGCTGTTGAGTTGGAAGGAAAAAGAATTGACTGCTAAGCGTTGTTGCATGCACTGGAACATAAGCTGCAATTTGTGAAGAATTAAATTGGTATCACCACTGAGAGGTAACAGCATAATGATGGCTAACACCAACCTTGTTGGGTTACTTATTAAAGGTTAAATTTATTCCTTAAAGAGATAACAAGGTGTAGAGCTGGATGAACACAGCAGGCCAAGCAGCATCAGAAGAGCAGGAAGGCTGACGTTTCGGGCCTAGACCCTTCCTGCTCCTCTGATGCTGCTTGGCCTGCTGTGTTCATCAAGCTCTACACTTTGTTGTCTCAGATTCTCCAGGATCTGCAGTTCCTGCTTTCTCTTAAATTTATTCCTTTCTCCCTTTGTGTCTGTGTGATCCAGCCTGCCAGATTTTCCTTTTTGTCCTCTGCTCAGGCAATATTCAGACATTGAAAATGAAAACCTGCCACCACAATCATCAAGCATCACACTATCAGTCACAATGTATACTTCATCAGGGAAAAGGGTTGTCTAATATAGACTTTTCTTCAACGGTGGATGTGATTATTTATTTACAATCCATCAGCTGTCTAAACCCAAAGAAAGATAAATGTTATGGATTACATAAAACAGATAACAAGCAGAAAAAAAAACTACCAATAGAACAATTTATGAACAGAACTAACTCAGCCAGCTGTGGTGCAAGACAGATATATCTGTACACATATTCTGATTCCCTATCAGAAAACAAAGTGCTTTCTGTTTAACTTCCAAAGTTTTAGCTCCTCTGAGTAAACTGTATTTACTCATGGGTTATGAAGAGTAATTTCCCAGCAGCACAGAAGCCTTACCCATGCAAGCTTTAAGGGCCAAATGGCCCATTCCTGTTGCTATCTTTTATTTTTTTAAGATTTCACCTGACAATTTCAGGTCAAGCCTGTATTCAAGTTTCTAATCATTTAAATTTTGTTATAGAGCGTGCCTAATTTTTCAATGTACTTGTCTGGATGGATGGTGCACTTGATATTCTCTCAATTTTGGAAAATTGCCACTGTAATATATTAACAAATTATGGTATGTGACCTGCCTTGGTTTGTCTGATCCATTATTCTTTATGGAGGGAAAACTCTTAGCTGTAGCTTTGGCAGAGGTTTGTGCCATGGTATGATAGGCCCTTACTATGGGATATAGTTTCTGGATGCTTTTCTGTGCCAGATTGTCTGCTCCCTACAAGGTTATTAATGTACGAGGTCGGAGGGTAGGGGTTACCTAGATTGGGAGCTGTTATACCCACTTTCCATCTGGATTTCCAGTTATATTGGCAAAGGTATACATGGTCTCATCAGGTGACACAAACACCACAAACAAAAGGTGTTCAATTTAGGATCAATGTTGAAAAGAGTAGGACTGAAGTGAAATTGTGTTTGTGGGTGTTTGTCTGGAGAGTAGAAATCTAATGAAATGTTCTGTTCCATGGTTTTTCAACCAGAATAAGCAGCCTTGAAACTGAGAGGAGGATTTAATGTGATTTTATACATTCATGTGACATTTGACACCGTGACCGGGGCAATCCATTACCACTGTTGAGGCTGGGGGGGGGACATGCCACTGAGCGGACTTGATACCTCTTCAAACCAATGCACATAAACTAGTATTTCTAGCTTCCACAGTGGGGGCTGTCCCTAATCCATCAAATGGCTGGCACCTGTAATACACCTCTCAGGGACTGCACAAACTGTGGAGAGGTCAGTGACAGAAATCACTGGTGGTTTCTGTCCTTATGTGGTTGCTGGGTGTGCCAAGCCTTTTTGGGTTATCATTTGCAAAAATACCTTCTTTCTGATGTCTCCAAAAGGCTTTTATGTTCTGAACTCTCTCTTTGGCTTTCCCTATCACAATTATTTCTTTTTTAGTTTACTGATAGTTTTTTTTAAAATGAGTACTCCTTAAGTTTCTACTTCTGTTCTAGACACAGCCTTCTCCACAGAATTCCTTGTGAAAAACCATGAATCAGCTCACTTTCCTTAATTTCCTCTCTCTCCTATTCAATCACAATCCTCGGCTCTCAAAGCCATTATTGTACCTCTGCGCTATTCTCTTCAAACTTTTGGGCTTTGATCGTTCACTCAGGTTTCCTAATATTATAAAGCACTGCATATTCAAGTAAAATGTTAACTTTTGTAAGTTTGGCTGCCAGCCACTCACTGGTGCCATTTCCTTTGGGTTAAGACTGACATCACTCAACACAAGAGTGTTCGATTTTGATGTGAATACTGCAGAGATTCTGATGCACAACAAAAGTGTTAGTGAATGTTCAAATACGTTGTAATAACTGTATTGATACACTCGTGATGTGCTTTATACACTTGAACAAAAGGTCAAGTTTACATGTTGGCTACCCCAATTCTGTCAAGTAGCCATGACTCCACACTAATTACTGCTGACAATGTACTACTTCAGGTTCATTTTCAGAAAGAGCTCTTGTAAAAAAAAAAGCAATGCTCAAATTTCCAGCTGTGTTGTGATTTTCTGCCTAGATATTTTAGTGGAAGGATGATCATTGGCTGCAGAATACAAAACTGGACCCAGTGGCCTGAATTTTATCTGGGGGCTGGGGTAGTGATGTTGAAGCATTGACTGCAGCCACCCCCCCACCATCCCCCCCAACTCTGCACCAACCCATTGCAAAATTTGTTTGTAAACCAATGGATTCAAAAAAGAAAGGCCACTGCATAAGGGTGGTCTGAATAAGCAGAGGGAGGGACTTTCACTCCCTGATGGACAGGAGGTCCTACCCTGGAGAGCTGCTAGCCTATCAGATTTGACGAGCTGCTGCAGCAGACCCAGCAACTGCAGAACTCTGCAGCAGTAGGAAACAATGAACCTTGCACTTTTGTAAACCTGGACCCCTTGGTAGGGGTGGGAGCAGCAATGGGGTGAGCAAGAGTGGCTTTGGAGGCCAGGCAGTGCAAAACAAAGAGTGTTCTGGAGTGCCCATATATCTGCTATCCTTGTCCTTCTAGATGAAAGTGGTTGTGAATTTGGAAGGTGCTGTCTGAGGATCTTTGGTGAATTTCTGCAGTGCATCTTGTCGATAGTGCAGACTGGGAAGTAATGGGTAAATTAGTTATGATCAGTGGGGATACAGGAGCAGTCGGTGATTGGTCTCAGTCAAGCAGGAGTTCTTCTACCATATAACAAGTGCGAGCTTGTTTTTCCTCAGCAGCGTTGCCAGCTGTGTCAGGATTAGAGCTGAGAGAATGGGGTTCTGCAACTTCAAAGTGAGATAAGTTACAATGAGTAGAGGAATTGGAGAAACCAAGATAAACGATAGCAAAACAATGTTTTTCAATCTGTAAGTGTAGACTGTACAGACTGTATTGTGTACAGTTGTGGGCACCACATTATAGGAAAGATGCAAATTCATTAGAAAGAGTGCAGAGCCATTTACCAGACTGTTTCCAGATAAGAGAAACTTCAGCTATGAGGATAGATTGAAGAAGTTGGGACTGTTCTCCCTGGACAGAAGAAGGCTGAGAGGAGATCTGATTGAGGTTTCCAAAATCGTGAGTGGGCTGGACAGAGTAGATAGGGAAAAAACGTTTCTGCTTGTAAACAAAACAAGTGCAAGAGAGTATACGTTTAAAATAATGTGCAAACGAAGCAAGGCTGGTGTGAGAAAAAAAAACTTCTTTGCACAGCAAGTAATTAGAGAATGGAAATGTCATGGAAGCCAGTTGAAGGGGACATTGGATGATATTTTTGAGGCAGTAATAGCGCACAGGAATATTGGGAAAGGCAGGGGATTGGCACAAAATAATAGATCCTAACGAGATAATGAAGCTGGTGCAGGCACAATGTACTGAATGGCCTCCTTCTGTGAACACTGATACCCACATCCCCTAACTCAGGATCAAACAGCAGGTTAATATTCAATATCATTGAAGAATGACTGTGTGGATATAGTTTTATAAGGGGAAGAAAGAAATTTAGACCAAAAGAGGGGATCGGTCACTTTAACACTTTTTTTGTTACTTTATGAGGACAAAATTACAGGATTTTCTTTGAAGTCCTGCCAAAGATGTTTCCAGATAGTTGAGAGTTAATGTCTTACACAAAATCACAGCATCTTTTTTGACAGGATTTATAACATCCTGGTTGCTGATTAGAAGCTGTGGTGTTAATCAGGCATGGCAATCCATTTCCTTTTTGGAAAAAAAAACTGTGAGGCTCCTTGAAAGAACAAAATGACAGCAGATTGTAGTTTAATTGAAAACAGAACAACTTAGGAAATCAAATCTCAACAAAGCATTTCAGATAGATGATCAATCTTTAGGATATAAGTAAGTACTGTCTAGGTGCTACAGAGTTGAAGATATTAAGATATGCAGATTGTACTGTTTCTATGGATACCAAATAATGTTGTTCCTGCAGTTGCTGTTACAAGTTTGCGAAACGGCTGCTGTAATAATATTTAATGTCATTGTTTGCTTTTCCAGCTGACTTATTTGACATTTTACTACCAATGCTGAATATTTATCAAGAGTTTGTCAGGAACCACCAGTACAGTCTGCAGGTATTAGCAAACTGTAAGCAAAACAGGGATTTCGACAAGCTGCTGAAACAGTATGAATCAAACTCGGCATGTGAGGGGCGGATGCTGGAAACCTTTCTCACATATCCCATGTTCCAGGTAAAATTCAGCTCAGCACATGAACCAATCAGTTGCACATAGACAGCCACATAAGGAGTAGGGTGTTGACCTGCGGATTACAGAGGCTCCACAATGTCCAGTACTTTGTTAGCTTCGCTGTATAACCATGTATTTGACCAACTTAATGACGAGCAAGTTTTTTGACTGAGGGACTCCTGTGTTTATAATGACGGTGAACCTTATTACAATATGACCTTTCCCAAATCAGTAAGTAAAAACTGCATACTGTTTCTTGTTTCCATTGGTTATTGTTAATTACAGTATGACTACTCTAGAAACCTAACTTCCAAATGTGCCGTCATTAACCTTAAAATTACTCTACGCACTTAGCACATTGGTATCAGATTCCTGATGTTGATGTATCTCTTCAAATTATAGAAAGAAATCCAATTATGAAAATATTAAGCATTTTTATGCAAATCATCGTACGCAGTAAAGGTTATTTTCACCTTCACAACTTGGTGGTGCTCTGGTGGTATTTGGATCTCTTGTCCATTCTAGGATACATCCAGGTTTCATCCTAATGATTTCACCATTTTTTACAAAGGATGGGCAATCTGCTCTGTAAGGGTACTGCCAAGATGGCAAAAGTGAACATTGCCCCCAGTAATGAACAAAATTTTGCTCATGGTGTTATAACCAGAATATCTGATGCATTTATTCTCTTATAGAGTTACAGAGTCTCACAGCATGGAAACAGACCCTTCGGTCCAACCAGTCCATGCTGAACATAATCCCAAACTAAACTAGTCCAACCTGCCTGCTCCTGGCCCAACCTTTCCTGTTCGTGTACTTATCCAGACATCTTTTAAATGTTGTAATTGTACTTGGGAAGTTCATTCCACACACGAAACATCCGCTGTATAAAAAATTTGTCCCCATGTCTTTTTCTAAATCTAAATCTCTCTTCCCTCATCTTAAAAATGTGCCCCTAGTCTTGAAATCTACTATCCTAGGGAAAAGACAACCACTATTAACTCAATCCATATCCCTCATTATTTTATAAACTTCTAAAAAGTTGCCACACAACTTCCTAGGCTCCAGTGAAAAAAGTCACAGTCTATCCAGCCTTTCTTTATAATTCAAACCTTCCATACCTGGCAACATCCTGGTAAATCTCTTCTGAACACTCTCTAGCTTCTCACATGCAAATCCGCATACACGGACATGTGCACGCATACACGGACATGCTGACACACACATGCACGCACGCACACACACAAACACACGTATATTACAGATGCATATGCACACATGAAGTTACACACATACGTGTATACGCGTGCATACACATGCACGCATACACAAATGCATCTACATGTGCGCACATACATGCGAGCGCATACACACACATGGACAAATGCATGCATATACGTGTGCATACAAACACGTGTACACACCCATGTGTGAATACCCACGTGCATATACACATACGGGGAGGCAATGGCCTAGTGGTATTATCGCTGGACTGTTAATCCAGAAACCCTGATAATGTTCTGGAGTCCTGGGTACGAATCCCGCCATAGCAGATGTGGACTTTGAATTCAATAAATATCTGGAATTAAGAGTCTAGTGATGACCGTGAATCCATTGCTGATTGTCAGAAAATCTCTTCTGGTTCACTAACATCCTTTCGGGAAGGAAACTACCATCCTTACCTGGTCTGGCCTACATGTGACTCCAGACCCACAGCAATGTCATTGACTCTCACCTGCCCTCTGGGCAATTAGGAATGGGCAGTAAATGCTGCCTAGCCAGCGATGGCCCCATCCCTTGAATGAATAAGGAAAAAAAACCATACACATGCACACACACATGTGCGTGCATGCATGCATACACATGCACATACATACACGTGCCACATGCACATGTGCATTCACATACACATGCATACACACAAGAATGTATACAAGCAAATGCACATACACATGGCACGTGTACACACACAAGTCCGAATACATACATACTTCACACATACATACATGCGTACCCGTACACGGTTACGCATACACACACGTGTACGCACACACACGTACGTACACGCACATCCATTCACACGGCGTATAGACACAAACGTGCGCATACACACATACACACAGAGAAATGCACATACTTACATGCATGCATACACATGTGCATGCATATGCACATCATGCATACATACATGCATATGCATAAACACACATGCACGCATACGTGTACACACGTGCCATGCATAAACATGCACATGCATTCACACACGTGTACATACACCCATGCCTGCATACAGTCATATACACAAATGTGCCTACATACACATGTGCATACACACACATGTACATATAGACAAATGCCCGTACATACATGCATAGATGCATGCATACACAAGCGCACATACGCAAATGTGCATACACATGTACACACACATACACATGCATACACACATGCATGCACATGTGCATACATACACACACGTGCTGTGCATACACATGCATGTGTATTCACACACACACGTGCCATGCATTCACACGTGTGCATGTTCACACACAAATGTACACGCAAGTGCCTGTACACAAGTACACATAAGCACGTGCACTTGCATGAATGCACATGTGCGCATATGCATGTGCGCACATACACACATGCAGCGCATGCACGTATGTGCACACACGTGTGCATCCCACACATACACTTACATTCGCATTCCCACACTTGTGCATACACACATGCGCAGCCGTGCACTTCTAGATTCTGTGTGCCTGATATTATTGGCCTGTTTGGTTGTGGAATTACTTGATCATTGTGCACTTATAGCACTCACATTGGCAGCACTGTTTTAGAAGCTGTGGGGCTGAACTATCTTGGTTGAAGAAGTTTCATGGAAATGATAACCACCACCCAACTTTGTTTTTAATCTTGGTGATGTTAAGGCCAAAATAAAAGATGGCTCATATTATTGATTATTTTTTTTTTGACGCTTACATGCTGGAGTTGTTTTTGCAATTGTCAAAACTTAAAACTTAGGGGTTCAAAAATTCCAGCAACCTGTCAACAAAAGACACCCACCATTATGTTTTGCATATTTAACCTCCATGATATTCTGCGGAAAACTTGCTGGAAATATGAAAAACAAATGGTGCAGCATCTCCACAGGGCATCTGGAAACTGAGTGTACAGAAAAGCAACCATAGATGGAATTTTCCCTTCAATGGAGGTAATGAGAAGTGGCAAAAAAGGGGAAACGTTTGGGTGAATTGGCTTGGAAATAAACTCATCCCCTTACCACTTCATATTGGTTTTGGGCAAAAAGATCCACCCCAATTAAGTGGCCCCCAACTCTTGGAAATTTAAAGGTCTCCATTTTCCACCTCCCCAATTACCTGCCTTTCTAGAAAGTGAAAAAGGTGGCTACTTCCCTAACTGGGAAACTGGTCTAACCTGCCTGCCAGGTTAAGTAGGCCTTCCATTTGTCCCAATCTGGGGCCAATTGGAGGCATAGAGAGGAAATGGGTATTCTCTGAAAGCCACCCCTCTGCTTTTACCTTTGATCTCTCTGATCACCTCTCCACAACAAGAAGATAAAAGTCATCTTGCTGTAGGATCAACCTTTGACAGAACTCATAAGATGTCAGGCTTTGATTGGTTGGCAGGTTCTAGAGGCCTGGAATGTCAGTATTAAGACCGATGATAGGCTGTAAAACTTGCTCACACTCACCTGTCAGCTCCTAATGAGCGAATTGATGTGTGACCATGTGAATTATCTCAGTAGTGGGGCTGATGGGTTAGCCATCATCTTACATGTCCACCCTCATATTTAGTCCTAAAAAGGGGAAAATTCTTCATTCTTTGTCTTCTCAACTAATCAGATTGGAATACAATGCAAAGTTTGAACAAAAAATGTAATCTCAAGGAGGTAACAAATCAATTATAGGAAGGAAATAAAGAAAGGGATTGGATTATGTAGAGAGATCTTAAATCTGTGTAAGAATAATAAGTTTGTAATAGTAGGGAATTTTAATTTTCCAAACATTGACTGGGACTGCCATTGTGTTAAAGGTTTGGATGGTGAAGAATTTGTTAAATGTGTTATTTTTCTTGTAGCAACATTCACATATTGATAATGAGCAAAACTTGACCTTCTCTTGGGAATAAGGCAGGGCAAATGACTGAAGTGTTAGTAGTGGAACTTTGGGACTAGTGATCATAATACAATTAGTTTCAAAATAGTTTTGGAAAAGGATGAGTCTTCCATAAAAGTTGAAGTTCTTATTTGGAGTAAGGCATATTCTTATGGTATGAAACAAGAATTTTCAAAAGTTGATTGGACTAGACTGTTTGCAGGTAAAGAGGCGACTGACAGTGGGAAGCCTTCAAAAGTGTGTTAATAAGAGTTTGGAGGTATTATGTCCCTGTTCGAATGAAAGGCCAGGCTGGTACGATTAGGGAACAATGGATGAATAAAGATATTGAGGTTCTAGTCAAGAATGAAAAAGAATCATATATTAGATCTAGACATTTGTGATCAACTGAATCTCTTGAAGAGTACAAAGAGTGCAGGGACATTCTTAAGAAGGAAATCAGGAAGGTAAAGAGGGGATATGAGACAGCCTTGGCAGATAAGGTTAAAGATAATCCAAAAAGATTCTACAAATACATTAAGAGCAAAAGAGTAACGAGAGAGAGAGAGAGAGAGAGAGAGAGTAGGATCCCTTAAAGATCAACGAGGTCATCTTTCTGTTAACCTCAAGAGATGGGAGAGATATTAAGTAAATATTTCACACCAGTTTTTACAGTTGAGAAAGAAATGGAGGCTAGAGAACACTGAAATAAATATTGATATTTTGAAAACAGTTCACATTAAAAAAGAGGAAGTGCTGGAGAACATAAAGGTAGATAAATCTCTAGGGCCTGATCAAGTGTATCCCAGGACATTGTGAGAAGTTAGGGAGGAAATTGCGGGACCCTAGCAGAAGTGTTTGTATCATTTATAAACACGGGGGAAATACCGGAAGACTGAAGGGTGGCTAACGTTATGCCATTTAAAAAGGCTGTAAGGAGAAGCCTGGAAACTACAGGCCTGTGAGTCTGATATTGGTGGTGGGTAAGTTGTTGGAGGTGATTCTGATAGATAGGATTTCCATGTATTGAGAGAGGATTGATTAGGGATAGTCAGTTAGTTTTGTGTGAGGAAAATTGTGCCTTACAACTTGATTGAGTTTTTTAATGAAGTAGCCAAAAAGACTGATGAGGGCAGAGTGGTAGATATTGTTTATATGGACTTTAATAAAGATTTGACAAGGTTCCACATGGTAGACTAATTAGTAAAGTTAGATCACATGTGATTCAGTTTGAGCTTGCCAATTGGATACAAAATTGACTTGATGGCAGGAAACAGAGGGTAGTGGTGCAGGGTTGCTTTTCGAACTGGAGGCCTGTGACCAGCGATGTTCCACTGGGAACGGCACTGGGTCCACTTTTGTTTGTCATTGGATGAGAATATAGGAGACATGGTTAGTAAGTTTGCAGATGACACCACAATTGGTGGTATAGTGGACAATGACGAAGATTATCTAAGATTACAAAGAAATCTTGATCAATTGGGTCAATGGGTTGAGGAATGACAGATGGAGTTTAATTTGGATATATGTGAGGTATTGCATTTTGGTAATACAAACAAGAACAGGACTTATACAATTAGCTATCAGGCCCTGGGTAGTGTTGTAGAACAGAGATCCCTAGGAGTTCGGGTATATAATTCTTCGAAATTTGCATCACCGGTAGATAAGGTGGTTAAGAAGGTATGCTTGCCTTCATTGCTCAGACCTTTGAGTGTAGAAGTTATGACATCATGTTGAAGTTATATAGGACGTTGGTGAGGCCTCTTCTGGAGTACTGATTGCAGTTCTGTTCAGCCTGTTGTAGGAAGAATAGTACTAAACTGAAGCGGGTTCAGAAAAGATTGACCAAAATGTCACCGGGAATAGATGGTTTGAGATATAAGAGTGGATGGAAAAGACTCCCTAGGGTGGGGGAGTTCAAATAAGGGTCATATTTTTAAGGTGAGAGGAGAAAGAATTAAAAACAAACATGAGGGGCAACTTTTTTACACACAGAGTTGTTTGTGGAATGAACTGCAATAGGAAGGGATGGCTGCAGGTACAGTTACAACATTTCAAAGATACTTTGATAGATTCATGAATATGAAATATTTGGAGGGATATGGGCCAAGCGCAGGCAGGTGGGACGAGTTTAGTTTGGGTACATGGTCAGCTTGGACTGGTTGGACTGACAGGTCTGTTTCCATGCTGTATGATTGTGTGTCTTTATTAAGAGAATGGAAGAAATAGAACAAAGAAAAGAATATTAATAATTGTAAAAACACCTCCAATGAATAAAACCTGAATGAAAAGCACACCATATTTCTAATGGTTAATTTCAGTGACAGAGAGGCCAGCTGACATTAATTAACATTAATCACACAATTAAAAGATTACTCAAACATAAACCAACCTGTCTTGATTTTCTGTAGCATCTTTGTATGAAATGTACAAGTACACTGACTTTGGGCTGTACTAAGGTAGACAGTGAAGCAGTGATGTACTATTTTGACAAAAGTAATGGAGAAATAAAACTTCTCTGACTTTTGGGTTTCTGTATCTGATTGCTTCAGTTTAAGATGTTGGGGAAATTCATTCTTAAATAATGGTGATCACTATTTGCTTCCCCATAATTTTGGCACCAACTTTTGGGCCTTGTTCTGACATCTGTCCCTGAGTCTAGCATAATGTTTTCCATTATAATTTATCCCATCATTCTCTTCTGGGCAGAATGCATTTTCCTCGAATAGAAATTAGTAATAATTGTAATCAGGAGCATGCTTGAATAACTCTGAAGACAAAATTAAAAATGAAAATTATTATCAGCTGGCATTCAAAGCAGTAATAGCAGGGCCCAGCATCATTGTTATTCACACTACCTCAAACAGTGTCTCTGAGACATGTATTGGTTGCAACAAGTTCAGATGATTTGATACACAATTCCCTATCATGGTAAATCATTGGTCCTGAGCCCATGAAGACTGCTTATAGCTGAATCTAAACATGTGTTGTTAAGGATGATGTTGTATTTGCTTTCTTGCCAACTTTACCTTTCACTGTTGAACAATTTTAGATCCCGCGATATATAATCACACTGCATGAACTCCTGGCGCACACACCGTATGAGCATGTGGAAAGAAAAAGCCTGGAATTCGCAAAATCGAAACTGGAAGACCTTTCAAGGTAGGTTAGTATTTGCACATTTTAAAACTGCATTTGGTAGATGTTCACCCTTAACCCCAGAGTAAACAAATGAGAACCTGCCTAAGTTGATTTATGAATTTTGAGGATGGAACTGGTTCCCAACTTCAATTAATTGGAGGTCAAATTCAATCTTGTTGGAGGCATACAACAAGTGATTGGTGGACAACTGCCTGTTATGTATCACACTCTTTATTTCCATTGATTTTAAGGGAAGAATTGATGGATTAGATAACAAGCAATTGGCGCACTGTCACCCATATGGTGGCCCTATTGGATTTGAACCATACTACCGCTGTGAACCACAGCCATTTTGATCAAACCATTGATGTCTATTAACCATTCTAGTGCTTCTGCTAATTATTTGAATTCACTGATTAGTTATTTCAGTGCACTCATTATGTATTCCTGTGTTCTTATTAATATTCCAGTCTTATTGGTTAGCCAGTACATTCATTAAGTATTGAAATGAGCTGATTAATTATTCCAGAATGGTTGTTAATGATTCTGGCAGATGACAGATAAAGTAATGGATCTAACATTGGGAGCTGGGATTTCCCATGTAGTAAAGACTGTTTAAAGTTAACAGAAGAAATGCATAGATTGCTTATTCTTTCCTTACCCCTTCCTCCTGCCATATGGTAGTGACTCAGTCAACTTCAGAATTTGAAGTAAAGATTCTGCTGGCCCTACCATTCCAGGATTTCCTGCCAGAAATGACTGAGGATATATAACACGACTGGTTATATGTAGTTAGTGGTATTATAATAACATACATCAGCAGCTTTATTTCCTGTTAGTTGTGCCACATTTAATATGCATGATTTGTTGCACACTCCTTGGGACAAAATTGAAAAATATTTGAAACGATTCATCAGATTGATAGCAGCAATGTAGAAATGCAGCAGGTCTACAGAACGTTGTTTGTTTAAGGCTAGCTCACCACAATTGTCGAACATTTAAAAATTTGGTAAGGTCTAAGGCAAATGGAGTTGTCACCACACAAAAGTTATGCCCGAGTTCTTTTCAAGCAGAAAATCTAATGTTTAATTTCCGGGAACAAAAGCAACTAGTTTCTGATTTGATGCAGAAGCGGATGCAAATGAATGGAACATTTATAATCCTACAGAGAGAAGCATGGAATAAGTGTTGCTCTAATTAACAATTACTGACCACAAAATAAGTGTTGGAACCATAGTGTAGAAGGTGTCCAAGTGAAGATAATCCAAAATGTAAGCAGGCTTGCAGTGGGCAGGCAAAAGGGCTTAAAGTGCCAGAGTATCGGAGAGCAGACAGCAAACACTGACCTGAGCATATTCTGTGACATGTGAGAAACCACTGAGTGACTAATTGGTTTGTAATTAGGATACTTAAATGCTCTTTAAGAAGTGTTTTAATTCAGGAGTTGAGCTTTAACCATGGGAGTGTGGGCTTTGTGAAAATCGCCCAAGAAATCGATGGGATTTGAGGGAACTGAACAAGTGATGGGTAGGAAATCTCTTGAAAACAGAGGCTTCACATCTGCTCCTTTGCCTGGAGAATAGGTTTTCACTCACAGGGCTTGTAATGAGAATAATCTTTCAATGGTCTGGAAGTTATTTCCACTTCATTAGAAGTAATTTCTGTTACTTCAGAGTTTATTATCTTGAATAAAAACCAAGAGGACTGCGGATGCTGGAAATCAGAAACAAAAACAGAAATTGCTGGAAAAGTTCAGAAATCAGAGTACTCCGCAGATGCTGCCAGACCTGCTGAGCCTTTCCAGCAGTTTCTGTTTTTATTTATTACCTTTAATCTGCCCTTTTCAGCTATCAAACTTTGGTTCAGCATGGGAGCTGTTTGTACAGTTTTCACTCGGACTTTAGATTGGGAACAAGATAAGGAGCTTTTCTGCTTAACCACCAGCCACATCCTTTGTTTCTTCTTCTGGATCTGCTGGTGGTAGTTACAGCATCTTGTGATCGGCAGCCCGCCTGTGCATCCCATAGTGACCAAGACATGTTGCAAAAGGCTAGACATTATGTGCACTCCTCAACCAATGAAGCCAGTCAGAATAAATGTGTGCTAGGCTTTTCTGTGCTGGCTGTCTTCCCGCATGTTCAGGACATTGCCAGGGAGTTCGGTGATGATTGAGGGAGCCCTGGATCATCCTGGAATCTTCATCAACAGAAGGTGTTTCCGCTCCATGGATGTGTACCTTGTCTACAACTGCCCAAAAGATTCCCACCAAGCTTCCCAGACCAGTCAAGTGTTCCTGTGATTGTCATATCTCAAAGCGGCTCCTTGGAGACAATAACTGCCCTCCTAAGTTGTGGCTGATGACCCTCCCTCCTCCCCCTGTGAGAAGCTGATGCCTAGGAAAGGTATAATTGAATCCAGTTGACCATCAGAGTTAGGGTAAAGCAAGTGGTCAGGAGGCTGAAGATGTGCTTCAGGTGCCTGGGCAAATCTGGGGTATGTTTTAGTATATACTAGCCAGGGTATCCAGGATGGTAGTGCTCTTCTGACACCTTGCACAACATAGCAGTGAAGACTGGGGTTCTAGGAGGAGGAGGAAGGTGGTGAGTGCTAATTTTGGAGAAGGAGCAACAGCTGGAAGTGAAAGAGCACAATATGGCTGCTGCACTAGCAACTGCATAATCGGCTGAGATTTGGGTATAGTTCATGGAGTGCACAAATTCTGAAGTACAGCCTCATTGCCCTCAGCATGATCAACCATTCATTACGGTCAGGGGCTCCCATTGCTCATTTTATTCAGCTCCAATGTTAACGTTCTTCCAGTTTCCAGGCAGAAGGCAAAAATGGACAACTAAGGAAATGGAGCAAACAAATAACTTTCATAGTACGGAAAAATTGAACGGCAATGTAATGGGTTAAATGTCCATTTGAATGCCCTTGTGAAACTACAACTCCTTCTTTATCCGTGTCCAGCTTTTCCTGTAGTGTGTTCCCTTGCTATTTAAAACCCAGCTCAGGCTGTTCACATTCTATCCTCTGACTGCCCGGATGCTAATGACTGACTCCTCATTGGTTTTGAAGCCCTTTGGCTCTGCTAGATTCTGACTCACGCACACCCTTGTACGGACAGCTGTGGTCATCAGGACAGTAGGCAGCGTGCAGGAGTCTCATGTTGTAGGGGTGATGAATCAGAAGTGGGGGCACTTTGAGCAGCCACCCACTTGATGTCCCATTTCTCTATCCTCCATCTCGTGGACGATCCACAACCCTAACATTTTACTAGACTCCAGTTAGCTACTGACTCAAAATATTAGGTTTATATCATTCTGCATAAGATAGCATTCAGAATGTCCAGGCGACTGTGAACAGCCAGGATGCACTCTTAAATGCTTCATCTGATGCTCCAATTGACTTAACTTTCAATGGATGGAGAAATCAGTATGGTGCTCCTCCAGGCACCACAAGGAAGTGATGTACCTCCCCTGTCGAGTGTACAGACTCCACTCTTTCCTCGACCACAATTATGCCAGACTGCCCAGGACCATTCCTGAGGATCCATGGTGCTGGCCATTAGTTCACTTATCTCACTGCTGGCTATAGACCTGAGCTAGACATGGATTATATTAATTAAGCTCAGCGATTTAAAATGGCCCACCTCTCAACTCTTCCCCATGTTCATTTTTTGTTCCAGGATAAAATTGTGACCCACCGAGTTTGGCAGCATCTGTGGAGAGAGAAACAGAGTTACCATTCTGAGTCTAATATGATTCTTCTTTAGAAGTCTAGTTCGGAGAAGAATCATACTGGATTTGAAATATTAACTCGGTTTCTCTCTCTACAGATGCTGTCAGACCACTGAGATTCTCCAGTTTTTCCTTCAGATTTCTATCATCTGCAGTATTTTTGCTTTTATAAATATGTCACTAATGTATCTTGTTGGAAAATAACTCATTCTCTAGGAAGAGCACTCCATTACATCAGCATAACCACCATATTTCAGAATCACTTCAAGCTCTGATAAGCCCTGATACTGTGCACCATCGCCCCAACAAGTCTGCAGAATAAAACAAACAAGAATGAACAGCCCGTATAATGAATAAAAACTGAAAGAACTGCGGATGCTGTAAATCAGGAACAAAAATGAAGTTGCTGGAAAAGCTCAGCAGGTCTGGCAGCATCTGTGAAGGAGAAAACAGAGTTAACGTTTCGGGTCCGGTGACCCTTCCTCTGGAAACATTAACTCTGTTTTCTCCTTCACAGATTCCTTCACAGATACTGCCAGACCTGCTGAGCTTTTCCAGCAACTTTGTTTTTGAGCCCGTATAATGACAGCTTTCAGAGGTACCCATGTGGAGTCTAACATAAGCCACATGAGGGCCCTAGAGAACACAACATCAATTCCAATATTGTTTAAAGTACATATTTTCTAAATAATTTAACAAGCATAAAGTTAAAACAAGGACTTTTTAAACCATGCTAAGTTTTATCTAAAGTAATTTTATTTATAATTCTGTTCACATTGTCAGAGTAAAATATGAAATTTCAACTGTAAGTTTGATTCTGGGAGTGATGAGCAATAAATATGAGGTGTGTGTTAGATTTATGGAGTCTTAATTACTTACTTGGAGCAGTTATTTGTAACTACACTTATAATTTACATCAAAATCCCAAATACAAGTGTCTGTAACTCAGGACACCATTATCATTTCTTTAATAAACGATGAGATGACACTCAATTGTTTCCATATCATCATCAAAAAAGTGCCCCTTTTTAGGGCTTGTGATGCATTATTATTCCATTAAATTCATTTGTGTAAAACCTTTTTAAATCTCATCTTTACTTCCCTCTTATACTAATGCTGCGAACTTTAAAAGCAAGTCAAATAGCTGGCTTTTGATGTTTCATGTGGACCAATTTCTTTGAATATGAAGTTGTAATGATTAATTTTCCAATACCAATCAAAACAAAATTTAAATTGTCAGTGCTTAAAGGTGATTTTCCTGAGGTCTGTCTGGAATGTTCA